CTGCTTCATTATTCCTCTCCCCATTCTATTTTTGCCCACAACACCCTTAGCAATACGCCACCTTTGCCCTTGAGATTTTGTCCCAGATTAATCTTTGTGGGCAGTCATTGCTAAAGGTGTTGTGTTTAATCTCTTGTAGCTCAGCCCTTTTGCAATTAAGGCAACTAGGTTCGGAGGCTTTATTTGGGCATACGGCGTATAAGTGGTCCCCCCCACAGTGGCTGCAGCTGTCCAGCGCCTCCGTGCAGACCCGTCTGATGTGGCCGTAGCCCAGACAGCGGGAGCACTGGATTAACGGGGACTGATCTTCCACAGCGGAGATTCCCCACTGTAGTTGAAGAGTCCCCGCGTCTGTCAGCTGCCGCCAAATAGTGGGAGCCACTCTGAAAACCACGTGCGCCACATGCGAATTCCTAGTTAGTTGCCTTTTCGTATATTACTTTCACATCCTCTTCCTTATATCTTCCTTCCCCGTTTATTTTTCCGAGTTTTCTTTTTATCCCCTCTATCACTTCTTATTTCTTTCTCCCTCCTCTTACATTCCTCACTATCACTAATGGATATTTATTTTTCGCTCTTTCCACTTTCAATATTTTGTTTCTTTCGATCTTCTCTTTCAATTTCTCTGCCTCACTTTCCCTTGCACACCCTATAATCACTTTTTGCCCTTTCGCATTTCTCACCCTCCTTACTTCGTTCCACTCCCCATTTTCGTCGACCGACTTCCTCACCGCGTCGAACACCTGGTCGCTCGTGAGCGTTTCGTCGGTCGACGCCACTATGATTGAGTGTAGTGTCTTGTTTTGGGGTGGAACGCTTCTCACCTTCTCCGCATACGTTTTTTCCTTTCTTTCTTTCTCTATCTTAGTTCCCAACTCAGTCAGTTTCTTTTGCTCTTCTTCCATTTGTTTACCCGCTCTTTCTTACATCTCTTTTATTACTTTCAATCTTCCCTTTCCTTCTTCTATTCCTTTATTATTTTCTATTATTATTTCTTTCAGCTTTTCTTGCTCCTCTTTCATATGCATCATTTTCTCCATTTTCTCTATCCTGTTTTTACTGATTTTCGATTCTTCTTTTTCCTCTGTTAAAATTTTGTTGAACTTTCTCTGTTCCTCTCTCGTCTCTTTTACTTCTTCTTTAATCTCCAGCAGTATTCCCATAATATCTGCTAGGTTATTAGGATAAAAAACCATATACGCACACACAGCACATCTGGATGGAGGATCAAAAGCTTATCCATTAAGAAACAAAAATAATACCCCACACGATGGGGTAGACGATGGAAAACATTCACCCCCCACATGTAGGGGAGGTACCCAAAAAAACTTCTTTTTTCCAAAATATGGGACCAACTTCGGAGTATACCCTTTCCAATAAAAAGAATTATCTAAATCAGACTACCATGTAAAAAGTTATGCGTGATGATGATGATACATACAAAAAATACAGGATAACCTCCTCCGTTTTTTTCAGAGATCCCACTCAACAATTTATTGTACCGGAAAGTTAAAACCCAATAAATAGTATTTTTATTTTCATTAATTCATGTCACGGGAATGTGAGGTTTATTTTGCTACAAGCCCAGCAATCAAGAGCACAATACATACAAGAAATGAAATGAAATGAAATATTTATTAAAACCATAACAAAGATACATAAGAGCAATACTCCGACCTCATACTAGCGCCCGATTCGACGCACGCACACAGACAAACGTCATTTACACGACCGCTAACTAATCTTGCCAAGACAAATCTACGCAGTGCCACGTCGCGCGCCGCCGAGTTAAGTTAGCTGCGCCGCGCCGTGGCAATAGTAACTATACACATACAATAAAAATCTACATAAATATGTTTTACATTTTGTAGGTACCAACCCTAGCGCTCCGCTCAGTCGTTGGTATCTATTTCAAGAAAACGGCTAAGTTACGCTACTGCTCTTGTATGTATAGTGTCAAGAATGTGTAATTGGCCATCATACTACAAAAACATATAAAAAAGTCATACGTACTACTACTACTATACTTTTATTTGAGGAAATCCAGCCTGATCATTTTTTCTATTTTGTGGACGTCAATTCCTAAATACATAATCTGTAATATTTTTCTGCTTTTGTTTTTTCATTTTATTGTAAAACAGTCTCTATTTTTAAACAAAAACGAGCCAAGTGCCGAGCGTCGTCAGCATTCAACGAACATTACCGATGGTGTAAAGAATCATGTCGGTCATTATAACCGGACATAAATTATCAAAAATGGGTCATAATAAGCGACATGTCACCATAAGTAAGGGAAGTCATTATATCCGACTTTTTTACTAATAATTTGATATGAAAACCAAACTTCGTAGTGTAATTACGTCATGATAATCGGTTGGTCAATATAGGCGGTGTCATAATAAACGGATTCTACTGTACATTTAGGTACGTACGGTCGCCGTATATTGCATCATTAATACTCAATATGGCATTAGTTTTTAAGTTGATTACAGTTGCATAAGCGATAATGGATCGAAACTAACCGCGTATGTGAGTAATAGAGATTAGTTTCGTGTGCACGCCGCAGTATGGTCGACAACAGCGATAATAATCATTGGACGTCAGCACAATACATACAAGAGCAGTAGCACAATAAATACAAGAGCAGTACTCCGACTGCATACTAGCGCCCGAATCGACGCACGCATACAGACAAACGTCATTTACGCGGCCGCTAACCAATCTTGGCAAGACAAATTTACACAGTGCCACGTCGCGCGCCGCCGAGACTAGTCGTTGGCCGAGTTAAGTTAGCTGCGCCGAACCGCCCTGCGCCGTTTGCCTCCGTTTCGATTCCGTAACGTGGCAATAGTAGCACACACATACAATAAAAATCTACACAAATATGTTTTACATATTTTTGTTCTACTCTTGTATGTATTGTGGCAGTAGCGTAACTCAGCCGTTGTCTTGCCAAGATTGGTTAGCGGCCGTGTAAATGACGTTTGTCTGTGGGCGTGCGTCGATTCGGGCTCTAGTATGAAGTCAGAGTACTGCTACTGTGTGTGTATTGTGACGTCAGCGTCCACTCGCGGGCGGCGGTGAGGAATTCGCAATTTGGTTCCGTTGTGGATTCCGATAATATCTGCCGATATTGCGGTCCCGTTGTCGGCCTCTGTATCTCCAATGTTTATCGAAGCCAAATCATTGTTTTGTTTACCAAAGATTAATGTGTTAATAATTAAACTCTGTGGGTAACACGTTATTTTTGTGATTTGTCGGTACTAAAATGTAATTTTTACATTAATTTTTTATTCCTTTTACCCGCCTATTGCCTGTTTTGAAATAACAATTTCTTGAATTTTATGGTACTCGGACATCTATATCCGACTATATCATCATCATAATTTCCTATCAAGCGTTGGCATTAGGCACCGTCTCATCTTTTCTTGTCTTTCGAACCAAGTGATCAGTAAATGAAATCCAAATAAATGAAAATTTGACAGTATTACAATCATTCATTACAAAGAAGCAGTTGAAATCAGAAACAATCAGGCAGAATCTAGGTAATTGATCCGACTGTGATTAGATCCGCAGGAACTTGAGATATTAGAGATGACGACCATCACGCCTAAAATATTTACTTTTGTTGATTCAATTCAATGGAACTTTACTTAAGACTAGTGGCCTTCGCTAGCTTCGCTTCGGTGTAGAGCTGAAGGGTACACTATAGTTTTTGTTTTCAGGCTTGTATTATAAAACAACAAAAAATTTATTAAAGACTAAGTATCAAATATCTGCCTCATGTGTCTTTTAAACACTTTGTCTTTCTGTATACTCTTGAATAAGTAGTGATTTATTTGGGAATTAATAACCGGGTTAGAATAATCTGGCCTAGCTCGTAACCGGCGTTACATTACTGTTTATATTTTAACACGAAGAAGTAGTAATACCAATAATAATCTTACTAATATCATAAAGCTGGAGAGTTTGTTTTTTTCTTTGTTGAACGCGCTAATTGGAGGAAATACTGGTCAGATTTGAAAAAATGATTTTCTGTTGGATTGTGCATTTATCGAGGAAGGCTAAAAGGCTATGCTATATAACGTCACACTACGACCAGTAGATGCGGAGCCTAGATGAAAAGTGTTGCAAAAACAGGTGAAAATATTAAAGTCACACAAAAATCATGTATAACGGCATTGTATCCCTTTAAATTTGCAATGACTGTAACCTTATTCCACAAATCAACGTGGGTGAAACCGCAGGGTTCCTCTAGTTGTGTCGTAACTGTAATAGACATATGGTATCACGGACTTTTTTGTAAATATTGATGTCCTCTAATACACCACTTTGTTCTATTGTCAATGACTACCGCAGCGTACTCGATGTAAGGTTATTTTTAGTATTTTTTTCACACGTTGGGTAACGTCCTCAAAGTTTTCATACGGAACCCTAACTTTTTTGAAAATACTGGGAGCCTATGTTCATCAGGGTTAATGTAGGATTCTAAATGTGATAGATTTTTTCAAATCGGGCCAGTAGTTTCGGCCTATTCAATACAACAAACAATTTAATCTTTTGCCTTTATAATATTAGTATAGAAAAGGGGCATAAGTTTGAATGGGAACACACACAGTACAAGTACAACGATAAACATTAATGCCTTTACTTTACAGAAAACGCAGTTATATAATTGTAGATTTTGGTGGAATTTTATCACTATGATTTCTTAGTAGTGTTCCAAGGTTTGGCGATAGTGTTCACGCCAAAGCAGGCAGCTGGCACGTTTTTCTGCTGTATCAGCTATTCCAAATTCCTCACGACTGAACTCCACTTACCCATTTCCTCGTCCGTAATCAGCGGAACCGGCAAGGCCCCCAAGCCCTGGTACTCAGGTGGCAGCATTAATAACGGGGAGTACACTTAACATCAGGTGAATTTACTGAGCCTGGTATTAATATAATATAACATGGACAATTCACAAAAGCTTCAAATGGATAAATGGATTAAGCACTTACCCTAACATTACCAGCCTGAAGCAGTTCTTGGGTGGTGGGGCGGACTCCTCGCACACCTGAGGCAGGGGAGCACTAGGCCCCGGTGAACGCTCCGGGTCCGATTCCTCTCCAACCCCCGCACCTCGCCTGCACAACCACGACGCGCCACACTTGTCCCTTGCATCCTCCGCCGGCGCCGCTGCGAACTGGCATTTCCTCGGCGAGCGTTGCCTACCGCTCGACAGCGAAGACTTCAGTGGCGATGGTGGCGCCCTCACTGGACTGGGCGATGCGCGCACCGGCGAGGTCGATATCTTCACCGGCGACGACTGCAGGGATAGCGCCCCGCGCTCAGTGGTGCCGTTCAACATTTTATTTACATCTGATCACTTTTATAGTATTACAAATAATGAAAAAGTTATTCACTGTTCACGCATTTTAAACCACAAAGAACCACCATTTGTATTTGAAAGTAGATATTAATACAAACATTGTTCAAAATTGAGTAATTTCTGTTTTATTGTTTGTATAAAGGTTTTACCTTTGAACTGCTAATAGAAACTGAAATGGAATATTATAAAATTTGACATATAAGGTTTTAATAATGTTTTACGATAGTCGTCCATGGAAATAAATAACGTTATTCCTCTAAATAAACCTTCAAGGGTGTTAAATTAAGCGGCATGAAGTAATCAAGTTTTTATTCTTTCTAAAAATAGAGTTAAGGTATAATAGTAAGGAGAAATTGGTGACATTATAAAAATAGAACAAGATAATATTTTTAAGCTAAGTTACACTACAAATATCTTTCCATAAATGTAGGTAATATCTAATCTAACTACCAACGTTACTACGTGACCGTGCAAAGATAAATTTATAACAATGAATTTGATACCTAAACGTCACTGAATACCATTAGCCCTCGTCAAGTAAACACATCTCATTTCTTTTTATACGATTTCAATGATAACGGATCACCTATTTGCATACACATCAATAGCATCGCTAGACCCACATCACATAAAGGGACATCATTAAAGTTGATACTGTTGTGTCATTACTCTGGGGAGTCTAAAAATATAATTTTGTCTACAAGTATTGTTTTATGTAAACAAAGTATTTACTGCGATCGTCGTCGATATGAATAAACCGATCAAGTGCGAGTCAGAATTCGCACATGAAGGTAAACATTGAAATTGGTTGCATAAAATTTGAGTCTTATAACTTAATGACCCATAAATAAATCTTAAATTTCATTTAAAGCACTATTCCTTTAAAACATAAAAAATAAATAAAATTTAGACGAATTTAAAAATCCTATAAATCACGCCGCTAGATACATATTTATAAATTTATTAAGGCGAAATCCTACGGTGGGGTATAGTCATTTGCCTACTTCTGTATAAAAAATAAACTATATTTAATTTAAAAGGTATTCTAAAAGCTGCCAGTCGTTGGTTAGAAAAAGAAAGAATGTAAAAAATTAACGATAGCCTGTCAGGCGTTACAGTTACAAGATGCGCAGAACCTTAATAGACAGACTATTCAGAAACGGGGTTTGATAATGTAGTACGGTACCCTAGAAAGTTATAACTTTTGTCGCTCCAACTATATAAACGGTACAAAAAGTTAATCGAAATTCACATAACAATCACATACGAATACCTACTTTATAGTTTTCTGCAAACAAAACAGCTAAAGGTAGCTTCTTCTGCAAAATAATTAAAACTTTCATTCCTACTAACCATAACATTAACTTTAATCATGCTACAGTTTACAGTTTCACAGAGAAACAAATTAGTAATGTGTAGTGTGAAATTAGGTAATCCCAAGAGTTTGCTTAGTTTTCGGGTATGTTACAATTGTGGGCAATTCTCACCATTTTATTACACTCTAATAGCTTCTCTCAGAAAAGTCATTTAACTTTTAAAGTTTTATGTTTGAAATTGGTGTTGTCACATTTTTTGTGAGAACAATCGAATAATACGACCCGGGGCTTAATGGATTCATTTTAGTGCGATACTTAATTTAAGTTCTACAACGGTCCATTACAGACTTTTACCTTAACATTCTGTAATATTAACTTAATTGGGTACTGTACCTCCAGCTGTGGAGTTCGGGGGGATATCTCGGTGGTAGTTTTTTGTATTCTTCTAAAACCCTATATCTTATATATAAAATTGTCGTGTCACAATGTTAGTTACCATACTCCTTGACGACCTCCGTGGCCGAGTGGTTTGTACGCCGGATTTCATCCCGGTGGGGGCAGATGTTTGAGTGATGAATACGAGCATTTGTACTCCAGTCATGGATGTTTAATATGTATTTTTATATAAATATACTTATATATGTACAGTATATATATTCTATCCGTTACCCTAGTATCCCATAACACAAGCCTTACAGTGCTTACTTTGGGGCTAGGCTAATTGGTGTGAGTGTTGGAAATATTTATTTATTTATTTATCCTCCGAAACGGCCTTACCGATTTTTATGAAATTTTATCCATATCTTTTGTATTAATGTATGAAGCAAAGAGCCATATATTTCTTTGTTCACACCATTGCCAAATATCTCTTGTAATACTGTAGAGATGTGGAAATTGAATACCTCCCATTTTATTTATATATGCTATTGCTGTTGTGTTATCAATTCTTAATAAGATCTCACAACTATTCATGGTTTTAGCAAAGCATTGTAGGCCCATAAAAGCAGCTTTTAACTCTAAATAGTTAATATGATATTGTTTTTCAATTTGTGACCATGACCCAGAAGCTTTTCTGTTTCCGCAGACAGATCCCCAGCCGGTGGTACTAGAGTCAGTGTGTATTTCTAATGAAAAAACTAATTGTTTTATTGCGTCAGATTTGTTTATGTTTTTAGACCACCACTGTAATTCTGATCTAATTACGTCAGAAATTATCATAGTAGCTTCATAATTATCTTTAGATTGGAGCAAGGCTAAGTATTTTTCACGTTCCAATAGTTTAGTATACAACCACCCATACGGAACGGCAGGACAAATTGAATTGAGTGTGCCCAATAATTGAGAAAATTTCCTGATTTTACAATTAGTTTTAGTCTTTATTGTTATAATTGTTTCCCTTATTTTACTTTGTTTTTCTAGAGGAACAGATAAAAAAGATTTTCAGAATTCAAAATGAAACCTAAGTATTTGCAAGATTGACTGGGATTATAGTTACCTTTTTTCTAAATTGATAACGATTCCCAAATCGGTTAATAATTTACTAGCTATTTTAATGTCATCTAAATAGCATGTCAAGACAATATTTTGGTTTCTGAGGTAAGTACATACAGGTTTAAAAGTTTTGTAAAAACAAATGGAGCAGTATATAGCCCATAGGGTAATGCATTAAATTCAAATACTCTATTGTCAAACTTAAATCTTAAATATCTTTTACTATTTTCTCCTATTGGTACAGAAAAATATGCCTCTTTCAAATCAATTGAAGCCATATAACAAATGACATGCGAACTTAGTGTTGCCAGCGAGAGGATTTGTTTTTTTTTCAGAATAGTTTTGAAACATTGTGATTTGACGCTGAACAATCAGCTTACTTACTTGCTGACCTAGTAATGATCCTCATTCACCCAAAGTAAGCACTGTAAAGCTTGTGTTATGATACTAGGATAACGGATACAATACAACAAATACTTATGATTTTGACGTGACAACGTCTTAAATTAGGTTGCGGCTGGGAGTCACTTATGAAAAAGTGTAACGCTCGGTAACGTTACGATGAGTCTCTCGTGTTAAGTTTAAGTTTACATGTACAATGTTTTAGTAAACAAAATATATTTCTATAGTTAAAATTTGTGCAATTCTTATTTTCATTCAATTCCTTGTTCCTATTGTGCAATTTAATTATATTCATATCAATAAATATTCTACCGAGAAAAAGACGTTGTCACGTAAAATCTTCGCCCGTAAAACCGACTTTACAGGCAACCATTTTTTTTATTTATTTTTTAAGCATTTAACTGCTAGATGTTTAAATCTAAAGAAAAGTTTACTAGAAAAAAATCCACGCGGACCAGGCAGCGGACGGGATTTTTTTCTAGTAAACTTTTCTTTAGATTTAAACATCTAGCAGTTAAATGCTTAAAAAATAAATAAAATCATAACTATTATTGCTATTTCTTCTTTCAAATGTTTAATACTTGAAAAAGTATTCATTTGACATTGTGGGTTACCTACAATGCGAAGAGATGGCGCTGCCTTGCAGCTTAAGGCTAGGAAAATTTCGACGCGGCTAATAGGGCCGTGGTAGCATAATGGTGAGTGCATTCGCCCGGATAGCGAAGGATGCGGGTTCGTGTCCCGTCCGCTGCCTGGTCCGCGTGGATTTTTTTTTCTAGTAAACTTTTCTTTAGATTTAAACAACAAATACTGTTACATATAGTATAAGTAATTTTTTTCTAGAAATATATATAAACAATATTTGTACCTAAGCCATGACGATGATGATCATAGTATTTTTTTGCCCCACCGGGATTCGAACCCGTGACCTCTGGTGTTGGCGACACCTTGAAACCTGGCGTAAATACCAGTCACGGAGGTCGTCATATTAGTTATAAGGTAAGTTTTCTTAAAATTTCCGGGCATCTTTCTTAATACTAATCTATACTAATTTTCAGACACAATAACACAAGTATGTCTTGCGTCTTTGTGGAATAAATGAGTTTTACCCCACATTTTATCGAAAGGTAATGTCAGTACAGAGATGATTGCTCTGTCTGTACCGTCGGTTGAAATGGATGACATAGCAAACCGATTGAGATCCAACATTCACCAGTGACGCATTAAGGGCCTCTCGCGAAGGGGCTAACAGGTAAAAAATATTATTATAACAAAAAACTTGATTATTTCAACAGAGTCAAAATCTTAAATGTTAAGCATAATACAAACGTACAGTAAAAGCTCCCCAATCGCGAGGTATACGTTCCAGAAATATGCCACTAATACAGAAACCGTGAATGTGGAGTGGTAATTTATATGGGATTATAGGGGGATACCTTCCAACGGTAAAAAAAAATAAAACATTTTTAATTTCATAAAGTTTTTCACAATTAATTTTAATTATTGTGAGGCTTAGGCAAGGATTTAAAGAACCTTTACTTTTCGCGGTAACACTGATTTTTACTCGTTGGAACAACATTTTTTTTTTTTTTAGTCTACATTATAAATTAGGAACACAGCGGATGAGACATATTACTCGATCACAATTTTGGTAATGCATGAAAATAGGATACAATAAACCACACAAAGCGGTTCTACCAATGGCGGGACCTCTAATACATAATGTGATAGCATTTAACAATACGCTTTAGGCATATAGTACTAAGATTGTTTTATATAAACAATTAATTGTTTTATTCTGTTTCTTTACATTCTCAAAAACAGCGACCGCGGCGAAGGCGGCCCATATCAAAGTAAAAGGGGAACCGTCCTATGCACCGGCGTTAGCATTTGACAACATACTTTAGGCTTAGTTATAGTAAGATCTATTTATTTTTATTATTACTGCATCTGCCAACGC